GAGCGGGCGGACATGCTCAACCTGCTCATCAAGCTCAAGAACGAGGGCTTCGTGCCGCCGGACGCACACGGCGAGCACGCCGACAAGGGCAACGGGGCGACCAACGGGACTAACGGTAAGTCAGTCAGCCAGCCAGTCAGCCAGCCAGCCAGCCAGTCAGCCAGCCAGTCAGCCAGCCAGCCAGCCAGTCAGTCAGTCAGTCTGTCTGTCTGTCTGTCTGTCTGTCAGTTCGTCTCCGTCAGTCAGTTCGTCTCCGTCAGTCAGTCAGCCAGCCAGTCAGTCCGTCTCCGTCAGTCAGTCAGTCAGTCAGTCACTCAGTCAGTTCCGCCTGTCATTAGCATTGTAGCATTGTATTTTGCACATGGACAGGGTATTTAATTTCGAATCACCCAACCAGCAATCTTCTTTAAGTACGGTAGCCCGGAGAAGCACGCGAACGCTGTAGCCAAAACAAGTTTGCTGTCCGAGGACGTTTTTGACTGAAACTTTTTGCAACATCACGTCAATTTTGTAATTTTCACAGGAGTCTCACAAGAGAGCCGGACGAAGCTCACTCAGAAGGAAATCGCCGCCCAAGTCTTCGTTTTCTTTATTGCGGGCTTCGAGACCACCTCCACCACCACCTCTTTTGCACTCTACGAGCTGGCCAAGCACCCCGACGTTCAAGAGAAGGTCCTCCAGGAAATCGACGCCACCCTCAAGAAGTACAACGGCCAGGTGACATACGAGGCCATCATGGATATGCCGTACATGGAAATGGTTATTCAAGGTGAGAACAGTGTCTCCGCGTGGTGTGGTCATAATGACATTTTTGCGGATCACCCATTGAGTACGTCATCCTTCCGCCACGGAACTGGAATGTTCAGCTTGTCCAAGCTCTCATAGCGCCTTGTATGTAGGCAACATCTTGCCTGCGATGCATGTGTGTACTGCGGGACGGCCTACCCTGAGTCTCGCAGGCGCCTAGCCCCTCGACTTGGCCGATTAAATCTGAGAAAAATGGACGTACTTTCTGCATGATCCCCCGTCTGAAGTTGCGGGTTAAGACGTTGAGACAGTGTGTTTTCACTGACAACATTTAAAA